AGTCACACTTTCCGGGGCTACTGAACATTGGCTCTGAGCTGACACTAATTCCAGGAGACCCACATCTCTGTGGTCCCAGTCGAAGTGGGGACTTAGGAAATTTTATCTGAGACCTCACAGGTCCACAGTGGGTCCCTGAGCCCATTCTGTGGTCATATCCCAGTTTCGGATGCAGAACTGGCCACATAACAGTGGGCAGAACCCCACACTTTTCCTGGCTGGGGAGTGAGGCTACTGCCTCCAACCAGGAGAGAAAACACACAGCAATCGGTACCCTGGGGATGCGAAAGACCCCAAGACAGATAGACCTTGGGGAGGGACAGCGAGTCATCGTAAACTTGGTCAGACCACGGCCGCCTACTGCAGCTGCTGTACCAGACATGGTGTCATTGCCTAAGAAAACTAACACAGGCCATGTTTGTACTACTGTGGCTCCTTTTCTCCGGCGCTGTCCCTAAGGCCTCCAGACAGAGTGTGCCCACCTCGGGGCCCACAGCGCTATAGGCCTGAGTCATAATGCAGTTTGCAGGGATCTGATCACCTTTCCTTCCACACCCATCATCCAGGCCCATTACACAGATAACACCATGCTGACTGGACCTGGTGAGCAAGAATTAGCAACCGTTCTCAATGCGTGGGCAATACACCTGTGTGTCAGAGGTGGGAAAGAAATCCAACAAACTCAGCGCCTTCTACCTCAGTGATGTGTGGGCTCGGGGTCTGGGCACCCTGAGATAGCCCTTCCCGGGAGGAGATGTTGCTGCACCTGACCCTCCTACCACCAAAACTAGCCCACATGCCGATGGCCTCTGTGGATCTTGGAGGTAACATTCCTCACTTGGGTTGTTCCTCAGCGCCTCTTCCTGTGGCCAGCAAGGCTGCAAGTGGAGCCAACAAGAGAGGAAGCTCTGCGGCGGGCCAGGCTGTGCTCTGTCCTTGGGCCCATGAGCCAGCAGGCCCCCGTGCTTGGAGTGTCAAGGCAGACATGGGTGCTGTGTGAAGCCTTGGACAGCACCAGAGGGTGAAGCAAAACTTGTAACGTATGCTTACCTGGAAAGTGAACTGCATAAATTTAAGGGCAAACATTTACTTATAAAGATGACAAATTATAGCTCTCTACTTAAAACCCTGGAAGAGCCATGATCATAATTGGCCCTAAGTGACACGCAGCCTGGGCGGGAAGGGCACAAAGCAGGAGGCAGGCCCCGCAGGCGCCTCCGTCAGTGGCATGCTCAAATCCACAGCTGAGAGCTGCAGGCCACAGAGTTTACTGGACTTCCCACAGTACTGGACTATGAAGAAAAGTGATTTTCTTCCCTATAAATGCTGATTTCCAAATCTTCTACAGCAAACATGTATTTATTTAAACACACACAAAGGAGTAAGAGAAAAGGTATATGTATAAACTCCAGATGAATTAAATAGTTAAATGCAAACAAAACCATTTATTTTTATTTTTTAACCCTCACCGAGGATATGTTTATTGATGAGAGAGTAAGAGAGAGCGAGAGAAACACCAATGTGAGAGAGAAATATCAATCAATTGCCTCCTGTACACACCCACTCAGGAATCAAACCCACAACCCTTTTGCTGTACAGGACAACACTCCAACCGAGAAAAAGGAAGTATTTGTCACAACTTAAAAAGGGAAGGGATCTTCTAAACACAAAAACCATTAGAGAACTCAAAGGAAGAAAAAGACTGTACAGCATAAAAATGTAAAATTTATATAAATTTAAAAAAAAATTCAAAAGCAAAATAACTAGAAAAACATATTTATAAAAATCAGATAAAAAGCTGTGTTTGACACATAAAGAGATCACATAGTTTAAAATAGAAAAAAAAAGATTATTGAGATCCAAGATGGCTGCTCAGGTAGACACCTAACCGCAGTAGCACACAGCAATTTCAATGGAATACAACTAAAATGTAGAGTGGACATTGCCCAGAGCTACAGCTAGTCGACTGACTGAAAATTCTACAACAAGAAGGAAAGAGAAAACCAAAAGGAAAATCAGAGGAGCTGAAAAATCCTAAGGTACAGAGACATGCTGCGCGCACGCATGCGGGCGCACGGAGAGGATGCAGCCGGAGAGGAGGAGAAGGCTGGGTGCCTGCCTGGCATTCCCTAGCAGGAAGGAAATAAAAACGCTGGCCTGGGCTGAACCCCAGAACCTGGGGGCCCAGGCTCGGGCAAGGGGAGACAGGGCTGTGAGGCGGAATCTCGGGAGCGGCGAAAAGCAGAGCCCCCGAGTCGTGCACATTGCGCGCAAGGGAAGGAATGTTAACTCTGATGCGGGATTGCCCTGGAGGGAAGGAAACAGGAGCTCCGGCCGTGCTGGGCACCAGTTTCGACCGCTCTGAACCCCAGTTCTAGGCCAGACCCTGGGGACCCAGGCTCAGAGGGAAACGGGGCTGTAAGGCGGAATCCCAGGGGAGCAGCGAAAAGCGGAGCCCTCAGAGTCGAGCACATTGCGCGCAGAGGACAGTCTGTTGACTCTGATGCTAGACTCCCCTAGCGGGAAGGAGAAAAAAAGCTCCAGACTGTAGGAACGCGACAAGGAGCAGGAGCCCCTGCCGGACACCGGCCAGCTGGGCACCAGCAAGGAGCCGGGCGACGGGACCCCTAAGGGGTGGGGGGGGGTGCCCCTGGGCCTTCGACCGTTGAGCACGGGCCACGGAGCTGAGGCCAGGGGCTGCTTCCTGGGCGGTGCCGACCCCTGCAACAGGCTGAAGCAGCACAGGAGCACGCGGAGAACTAAGGGGTGCCACATGCCAACCTGCTGAGCTTCCAGGACAAGGAGGAAGAAACCGAAGAAGTTTTCAATGTGAAGAAATCAAGTGAGAACAAAAGATAGTAAAATTACTTAAGAAAGAATACAAAGAAGATCTTGAAAAATCGAAGACTAAGTTAGAACTCAACTCAGCAGCCAACATTGCAACATAAATGAGTTTAAAAAAAAAAAAAAAAAAGGACAGAATGTTGGAACAGCAGCAGCCAGGCCTAGAGTGGCCAGGCACAAGGCAGTGGCTGCCGGGCCTGGAGCAGCAGCAGCCAGGTCCCAGAGCAGCAGCAGTCAGAACCAGAGCAGCAACAGCCAGGCCTGGAGCAGCCAGACCTAAGGCACTGGCAGCCAGGCCTGAGGCGGAGGCGGCCAAGCCCAGGGTGGCCAGTCCAGGAGCACCCAGGCCCGGAGTGGCCGGGCCCGGAGAAGCCGGACCCAGAGCAGCCGAGTCGGGAGCAGCCAGACCCAGAACATCAGCAACCAAACCCGGAGTATCCAGGCCGGGAGCTGCCAGGCTCGAAGCGGCCGGGCCCGGGGCAGCCGGGCCCAGAGCAGCCAGGTTGGGAGCGGCCAAGCACAGAGCAGCAGCATCCATGCTTGGAGCAGCCAGGTCGGGAGCGGCCGGACCCTGACCAGTCGGGCCCAGAGCAGCCGGGTCGGGTGCGGCCAGGCCCGGAGCAGCAGCTGCCAGGCTAGGAGCGGTCAGGCCTGGAGCAGCAGCAGGTCGGGAGCGGCAGTGACCAGACCCGGAGCAGCTGGTTGTGGAACGGACCAGAGCAACAGAGGCCAGGCCCAGAGCAGCCAGGCCCGGAACAGCTCGCTCCTCGCCTGCCTCCGCCCCAAGACTGCCTCTCAGACATGGCTGGAAACTTTGGGGGAACTTGAGGGTCTGCTGAATCAAATGAGGAAGGCTTAGATCTGGATGTGTTAAATCAGTATAGCGCTGGGGTGTTGATCTGTGAGTGCCTTGTGTGGGGCCTGGATGAGGTTGGTTGATCTATTTGGAAATGTCTTTTGTGTGAAGTGTATCCTTGGGCATGTGGAGGTATTATTGATTGAGAAAATGCTAAATAATTGATTTACTATCTGAAAAATTTAAAGTTCTGAAAGTTTAAGGTCTCTTGCTAAAAAGAGGTTTTAAAGCTAACACCTTAATTTTAATGGAGAAAGGGAATGACAAGCCCTTCCCACCCAGAACAGGTAATCCAATTCCAACCAGCAGCTATGTTTAAACAATGGGGCAAGGTTACATGTAAACAAATTTGCTCTCAATTCCCAGGGCAGAAACAAAACAAGGTTTAAAATTATTAGATTTTAAAATTTATTCTTAGAAGTGTAAAAGTTTATTAATTAAAAAAAAAAAAAAAAAACAACAACAACAAAAAGGAGATTAAAAAACCTGATGAACAATAATAGCGGTTCATTGTAGTAGAGTCAGGCTGTGCACCAATGGATGAGGACAATGGGGGGTGGGGAGGGGGCGGAGGGTGGGGTGGGAACCTGGTGGAAGGGGGAAGAAATGAGGAACCTTTGTAATAATATGAATAATAAAGATTGATTTTAAAAAAATTTAATTTAATTTAAAAAAAGATGAGCAAGAGACTAAGAAACATATAAAAATATATACATTAGATCTTTCTAGATATACAGTGTATTACAAATTAAAATGCCCTACCTCACTAAAAATGTCTAGAAAATGGCAGAGCTAAGATTGGAATGCAGATTTTTTTTTGGCTTCAAAGTAATATACCATGTTGCCTACATAACTCATTATTTTTTTTAAAACCACATCAACTTTAAAGTTTGTACTTGATAAAAAGAGTTTCCCCTTCTACCACCCATTTTGAAAGGGCTAGAGAAACTAATGGCAAATAAATACAATGGAAACTACGGCTCCTTTTCCAGGTCGTCAGTGGAGGTTGAGTTCTTCTGGCATGTTCGGATAAAATCAAAATTCTCTTTTAAATTAAAATGTACTTATCAGAATCCTGGTCAGTATTAAACTACTCCTTGAGTAAGTAAAAAAGAGAAGCCTTTCACAACTAACAGGAAAAGGAAGGTGAATAAAATCTGGTTTTCTGATTTTATTAAGGGCTCAAGTGATTTATCAAAGATGCAAATTATAAAGAAACTATGAAAAGAAGAACCTAAAAATACAGTAAATTAAATTAGTAAATTAAAACATTAATTGTGATTAAGCCAGACATACTAACCATGGATCAGGGAGCCATTGAGCCACTGAATGTAGTAGCTGTGAGGAAAGGAAAGGAGGATTTCATTGCTGATGATGGAGAAGGGTAAGAGCAGCACAGCCCCCGCGGACACTGCGAGTGTGAACGTGCACAGAAACAACCTGGAAGAGAAGAGAAGATGTCACCAGCCATCGGGGAAGCAGGGAATGCGGCCGTCATTCAAAATGAATAAAAATTCTGCATTTTTTATCTAAAAAAAAATTATGGGAGAATTTCATGAAATCTATGCAAATGAAAGACAAATGACACACGTGTTATCCTAGGAGTTAAGCTAAATCAACTCTAGAACGCCTCACTCTGCAGGGATTGGTGGATCTAAAGAGGAGGCCCCAGAGGACACATGTGCTGAAGGCAGAGGCCTCACACTCAGAGAATGAACAGTAGGCTCTCTACTCCTTTATATGTGTGTTCATTTCACATTGTATTTCATTAATAGCTTGGGCAATCTATGATAAAAGCAAGGCAACAGCTATTTTAGGTGAAAAAATACATGTGAATGCAGTATGAAAAACTCGTATTTCAGGGGAAAGCTTACAAAGCCACTGGTCTGCTACCCCTTAAAATGGGTAAAGTGTAAATAAATTGTACTAATAAACAGAAGGGATCGTTAAACAGTATTTAAAACACTACTTTGTCATTTTTAAAAATAAGAAATCTCTAATATGTACTAATTTAGAAAGGTGTCTAAAACAAGTCAAGAACACAAATTGTAGGAAAGACAGGTGATAAATAGAAAGCATGACCCTCCCCGCAAAAAAGGCACATATATACACACAGAAAAATAGAGATAGAAACACTAGCACAGCACATATCGAAGCTGGGGAGGAGGAGAAGAGGGTGGTTTTCAAAGGGCTCTCATTCTCAGTCCTACATAAGCAACATTTAAATTTTATAGCTATTTTTTAAGATTATTTCAAATAGCAAACAAAATAGGAGTCTCACCAACATTAGAAAGGGAAACTTAATAGTCATCCTATTAAAGAAAACATAGGAAGAATGTGAAAATGTAAGGAAAATCATTACACTAAATGCTCCAAATCCACATCTGATGGAGTCACTTGGCAGCAATGCCACCTTCTGGTGGCCCACAGAAGTGTTTCCTGCTTAAGAGCCTACCCACCAGGAACCTGTTCAGTCACTGATGGATTTGCATGAGATCATGTGATGCACAACAAAGCACAATCCAAACCAGCTCCAGCAGAAGTCCTTGAAGACTCTGATAACGGACATGTTTCCCTGTCAGAGCAGGAGACAAGCCCTCACCTGGGCCACTGCCCACTGCAGCAGTGACGGCGAGTGGCCTTGAGCGAGGCCATCGGTCTTGTCCTCTAGCCAGTGAGGAAGCATCCTATTGGCTTCCATCACCTCTTTCAAAGCTGGAAGTGAAATCAACACCAGGTGCTGCACAGCCACCGAGGCTTTTCCACACCCCACTCCGCCCCACAGTCCCCAATCAGTCACCTCACCTCCTTGTGCCCCACACATGAGTGGGTTCTGTGGCTCCGGGCCAAGGCCACTGTCCCCAGAGTCGCCCTATACATCCCTCAGCATTTCCCTTCTCCCATTCTTGGCTTCCACGACACTTGGACAACAGACCCAGCAATGAAGGCCAGCCACAATTTCCAAATCAAAGCCCAAACCTGTCCACACTTCCGCAGGCAAACAAATTGAGTATCTGAAGTCACAGAACCCCAGGAAACCCTGATCACACTGCACGGCGACTGGACCACAGCTCTTTCACCAAGACTGCAGCCCACTACAATTCCAGAGCTGGCATTGGCCTGGAGATGCCAAAAAGACCACAGCATCCTCCCCAACTCCCTGGGGAGCTAGGAGAAGAGCTGCCCCTGAGAAGCTGATGGGGACCCGCTGGAGTGGTTGCGCATCAACCTATGATCCAGGAAGTCATGGTTTGATTCCTAGTCAGGTTGCAGGCTCGATCCCCAGGGTCAGGTGATCAATGATTCTCTCTCATCATTAATGTTTCAATCTCTCCTTCTCCCTTCCTCTGCAATCAATTTTATTTTTATTTTATTTATTTATTTATTTAAAAAAAAAAAAAAAAAAAAAGCTCTAACCGGTTTGGCTCAGTGGATAGAGCATCGGCCTACGGACTGTAAGGTCCCAGGTTCGATTCAGGTCAAGGGCATGTACCTTGGTTGTGGGCACATCCCCAGTAGGGGATGTGCAGGAGGCAGCTGATCCATGTTTCTCTCTCATCGATGTTTCTAACTCTCTATCCCTCTCCCTTCCTCTCTGTAAAAAGTCAATAAGATATATTTTTTTAAAAGCTGATGGGAAGAAGGTAGGTGCTGGCGCGGGGTCCTTAAGGTGAGGCCCTGCCACGTGGGAACTGCAGGAAAGTGCCCTCGGAAGTGATGGACGGTTTCAGAAACGCCCTTTCTGCACGGAAGGGCTCTGTGGCCAGGACCACAGTACCTATGTGGGGCGAGAGGGGTCACAAACCATTCCTGGTTTTTAGCCTGAGGACATGGACAGTCTCGCTGATCAGCCGTTAATGGAGGAGGCTACAGGGGAGGAACAAGTTCAGCTTGGACACTTGCAGGCACCATGTCCATGAGACAAATGTCACAACCACCTCTCAACTTCTCACGCAGGCCCTTCTCACGATGGCCTTGACTCTGCCCACCCCATACCGGTCACATCCTCTCATCACTGATCCAGGTGGTGTCTGCCAGGACTCTCCATATGAAGTTACTCCTCCCCGTCATCATAAGCACTGTGTGGGAAGCTAAGGAAACCAAGAGCATGTCCTGTTCCTGGTCAAACAACGTATCCCTCTGGTGACAGCCACGGGTACTCAGGCTATTTCACCTGTGCAGGATCCATTACACCCATTACTGTGATGAACCCTGGTTTGGCGAGAAAGCCCCTGCAGGCCTGAATCTTTCTGACACGTGCCCTCATCCTTTGGCACACCTGCAGCCAGTGCGTCCGGGCCGTGTTCCTGTCCTGAAAGCTGTACTCAGAGGCACTCGCTGCTCTTGGGTGCTGCGCCCCCAGGCTCAGTGGCAGGCCAACCCGGGGTGCGCTTGGGCTGTGTAGATGCACGCACCCACATGCACATCTGCAGTGACCCAGTAACTCTGAAAACCATGAGTCCACAGTGATACCTGTGGACTCATGGCCACCTCCACTGCGCCAACTAATGTTCTCCTTCATTGTCCCCTGACTGGGACTAGTTCCTGTCATCGCTAAGGGACAGGCCCCACCTCTGCGATCAGTGTCCCATCACACTGACTCCCATCCTATGCAGAGGTGCCTGCTGCTCAGGTAACTCCCCATTTTGGACCTTCCTGCCCTATGTATGCCCTCCCCACCTGAGCTGTCACACCCATTCCAGGCAATGCCTCGAGGGCTCTGCCATCCTGCATAGACACCCTCCCTACATGCCAGCATCCCCTCTGCAGGGACTTTTCCTCCCTGCTCTCAAACCCTAAGCCCACTCTGGCTACCCTCCAGGGTGAGACACATGCGAGGCCCTCTCCTCACAGGCTGTTTCTGTTCGCCAGTTAGGCATGCACTTTATATTGACCACTTCCATTCCAGCCCAGTACCGGGCAGAGGGTCGCTGTCAGCAAGTGGAATTCTGGTTGGGGAGGGCAGCGGGAGTTAACCTGGGGGCACAAGGAGGGCAGAATAAAGGCCCCGAGGAGCAAAGAGGGCGTGAAGGTGGGCTCTAGAGCAAAGGGGGAGGCACAGGAAAGGTTCTGTGCTGGCAGCGCTGGGGTCACCCTGAAGCCCCCTCTGTGCAGGTGGTTGGCAGGCACCGCACTGCAGAACTCTCAGAACACTGACCACATCCGTTTCCTGCTCAGGCTCCGCCTCTCCTGTTTCACCCTCTTCAGCGCCCCCACAACTCCCTTCAGTGGGAGGAAAGCAGGCCAGGAAGAGGGTCAGGGCGCAGGGGATGACCTCAAGACCACGGCCACTGTGCAAAGCCTGACCATCGCTTGTGCACCTGCTGCTTACGCGCACGGCAGCTCTGCAGGCGCAGGCGCAGGCCCAGCTCACATGCCAAACTCAAATCTCGGCTTCTCCATCTCAACTCAAACTAATCTGGGTTCGGAATTTGAACCCAGGTCCAGTTCTCACTCATCCCATCACAGAAGGAAGAAAAGGCAGGGACGGACAGAAAGAGCAATGGGTGAGAGGACAGGGGAATGAACTGGGTTGCCACCCCCTCCACGCTGCCTCCTGACTCTGTGGTGGTTGCACAGCCATCTCCCTCCAGAAGGTGTCTGTCTCACCACACGACACTCGGACACGCACCTGCCGCGCCTGGCTAAATCCGGGCGAGGTGCGGGCCCCTCCGGACCCTCACCACCAGTAAACTGCATGTTTTCCTAAAATATCCTGCAAGGGGAACGGCCAAAGTGACTGGCACTAATTGATTCATAAATTATTGATCTACAAATGCACTTCAGTAATTGACCACCAAAGTGGAACAGAGACCACGCAGAGGAGAGGCACCATCTCAGTACTTCAGCCTGGAGGGTTTCGCTGGACACAGTTCCTGTCCGCCGGCAGCCAGTGTGGGACCCACTGTGGCTTTTTGAAGTGATTGTGTCATTGTGTTTTTACGGGAGCAGGAACTGGGACAGAGAATGTTCCCAAATGTCACGGTGCTGGGACTAAAATGTAAGATCCCTAATCCTGCACATTTAAAGCAACACGTTTTGGGGCTAAGTTTTAGAGCCATTCAGAGAATGCCCAGTATGGAGTTCAATTGCTTTCCCTGGGTGTTTAAATAATTTAAATCCAAATCCAGTATAGCAGGATCCGTCTACACTCATTTTTCAATAATAAATCATTTGTTAGTTGAAAGCATTGCCTTATTGAGGTGAATTCAAATAAAATCGACCACTTTGATGCATACAAGTCAGTGGATTCAGAGCGTTCCCCTTCTCACCACCAAGTAACACCTCAAACCCACCGAGCAGTGCTCTCCATTCTCCTCCTCTCAGCCCCGAGGAACCGCCATCTGCTTTTGCTGAATTCACCTATTCTGAACGTTTCTCATAAATGGAGTCAACACTGGTGACCTTTGGTGACTGCCTCATCTCACTGAGCATCATGTTTTAGGGGTTCACGCATGTGGTAGCAGGTGTCTGCATCCCTCTTCATGGCCGAGTGACGCGCCTGCGTAGGGGAAGCGTGTGTGTGTGTGTGTGTGTGTGTGTGTGTGTGTGTGAGAGAGAGAGAGAGAGAGATTAAAAGAGAGAGAGAGAGAGATCATACTGTCTGTCTCCTACACCTCTCCTCTCTCCCCTCCTACCCAGCACCTCAGCAGAAACTGGGTAATCTGACACTAACCATGAAGGGACAACAGACAAACCACATGACCGGCCTGAAATGTGCAAATGTGTTGACAAGGTCAGGGAGTCAAAGGAAATACTGAAGTCGAGTTTCATCTGCAGGCGACCACAGGGCCACAGCCCTCCCTGAAGTGTGAGGTTCTGAACCAGGGACAACACGGGGACGGCAGCAAACTGGAGTGCAACAAGCTGGGACTGTCAATGCCAACTTCATGATGCTGGTGGCTGTACGGTGGACTGGCAGAATTCCCTGTTTATAGGAATTAGATACGAAAGCATCCTGCAGAAATGGAGCATCCAGTCAGCAACTTCTCCAAGGGCTCAGGGAACACAAGTCTTTGTATTGTATTTCTACCTTTCCTATAAATTTGAGACTACTTCAAAACATTTTTAAAGTATCAATGAAAATAATCGAAAAGTAGATGTCTCCTATGTAGTAGCAAAGCTGTGGAATGTCTGCTTCACTGAGCAAACCTGATAGAAAAGAATTCACGGCTTTCCACCTACAGCAGTTTAATTCCTCAGGAAAATTAAAGGGAATTTCTATCCTGTGTCACCAGCATCCATGAAGCAGAAGAACTCTTAGCCCTGAAAGGGCTACCCCGCTGCTCACAGGAGGTCTGTAACCACACAGATGGCGCTCCCTCTTCCAAACCCGTCCAGGCTGCTCAGCAGACCATTCAGAAGCCAGGAGCTTGCTTTCTTAATGGCCCAGCAACTTTCCCAGCCTGAAGCCCATGTCCAGGCTAAATCTTCTGAAGTTAAAACCTGTTGGCTTCGGGGGAGCAGCCGAGTCGGGTGCGGCCAGGCCCGGAGCAGCGGCTGCCAGGCTGGGAGCGGCCAGGCCCGGGGGAGCAGCTGGGTCGGGTGCGGCCAGGCCCGGAGCAGCCGGGTCAGATGCGGCCAGGCTTGGAGCAGCAGCAGCCAAGTCCAGAGCAACTAGGTCGGGAGCGGCAGTGACCAGACCCGGAGCAGCTTGTTGTGGAACGAACCAGAGCAACAGAGGCCAGGCCCTGAGCAGCCAGGCCTGGAACAGCTCGCTCCTCGCCTGCCCCTGCCCCACGGCTGCTTCTCAGACATGGCTGGAAACTTTCGTGGGAACTTGAGGGTCTGCTGAATCAAGTGATGAAGGCTTAGATCTGGATGTGTTCAGTTAGTATAGGGCTGGGGTGTTAATCTGTGAGTGCCTTGGGTGGGGCCTGGATGAGGCTAGTTGACCTATTGGGAAATGTCTTTTGTGTGAAGTGTATCATTGGGCATGTGGAGGTATTATTGATATGAGAAAATGCTAAGTAACTGATTTATTATCTGAAAAGGGATTTACTATCGGGGAAAGGGAAGGAAGAAGAGACTGAACATAAACTGTGCACCTATGGATGAGGATAATGGGGGGGAGGAGGGTGGGGTGGAAACCTGGTGGAGGGGGGAAGAAATGAGGAACCTTTATAATAATATGAACAATAAAGAGTGATAAATAAAAAAAAATAAAAATAAAAATAAAATAAAAAACCTGTTGGCTTGCCCAAGCTGACTTGCTCAATGGTTGGACTGTCGGCCTGAAAACTGAAGAGTCCCCAGGTTCAATCCCAGTCAAGAGCTCGGACCTCAGCTGCAGGCTTGATCCCAGTTGGGTCACATGTGGAAGGCAACCAATCAATGTGTCTCTCTCACCCTCCCTCCCTTCAACTAAAAATCAATGGAGCCGAAACCAGATTGGCTCAGTGGTAGAGCGTCAGTCTGTGGACTGAAAGGTCCCCGGTTCGATTCTGGTCAAGGGCATGTACCTTGGTTGCGGGCATATCCCCGGTAGGGGGTGTGCAAGAGGCAGCTGGTTGATGTTTCTCTCTCATCGACGTTTCTAGCTCTCTATCTCTCTCCCTTCCTCTCTGTAAAAAATCAAATATATATATATATATATATATATATATATATATATATATATTAAAAAAATAAATAAATAAAAATAAAAACAAAATAAAAATCAATGGAAAAAAATATATATCCTTGGGTGAGGATTAACAAAAAAAATCTATCAGCTCCTTAAATAAGCTAATTTAATAAGAGATAATCAATCCTTCGTTATTCATGCATATTTGCCTATGTGTGTTTTCCGAAGATAGGATGAAGGTGTTGCAATACTTTAGGTAAATTTCTTCCATATTTCTGCCCAAAAGTTAGAATTAAATTTTGAGGATTTATGACTGCAGAATTAAAAACAAAACAATTAAACTTTAAAATACATACGAAATCCTGTTGACTATGGCATCTTCATCTTCTTGTTCATCTGCAAAAATGTTTAAGGTACTAACATTATTTTCTCTTCCAACAAGATGCTTCATTCATTTATAAAAAACAAACAAACATATAAACTTATAGCAGCAATTATTGATGGAAACTTTTTAAACAGCACAGTGTTTATTTCAGCACAGATTCATATTTAAATTTCATTACATGGGATAAGAGAGAATACGGTTAAAGAATAGTGTTTTTGATTAATCAAAATCCTATTGACAAAATGGCCATATGTAATTAAAATACCCCAAACATTCAGTGCTCAGGAAAATGAAGCTTAGTAGGTCCTTAAGACTACTATCACGCTTACTGTTATAAAATGTAAATGAATTTGCTAATGAATGCGATTTTCTGATTAACAGCCAAAATAAATAAATAAAAAGTTTGCTATAAAATTAAAATTCAGAATCTAAGGGCTCATATACTTTCCTAGAATTTGAGTTTGTCATTGGCAGTGGCCACTCTAACCCACCTGGAGTCCCATGCACCATACTCATCATGGCTGTCCAAGGTACATACAAGAATGTGTCCGCTTGGCTAGTGTTCACTCAGCCCCACCATGGCTACAGCCATCTCTCTGTCCGCCCATGTAAACTTACCAAAGAAATTTTGACCCAATTATAAGGATTCTGCACAACTCCCAACCCCTGTCCCCCATGCCTACTGGGCTTGTACTCAAAGGCTCTCTCTGTAGGCCTCTGCAATTCTGAGTGACCACCTGCTTCCCTGCCAATGGCCCACTTGGCCATTCTCATAGTCCAATCTCCATTCTTAATTACAGACGCTATAAGTAGCTTTACAACCAAAGGGACCACAAAATAATGCAGTCACAACTAACTTTTATACTATGGTGCCCACTCCAAACAACCCTCAAACCTTAAAGAATTTTTTTTTTTTCAATTATATCTCAACCCTCTGCCAACTAGGTCCAGATCTTTATCATCTCCTCCCCATAACTACTCAAAAAAAAGCATCTAATAAATCTCCACTTTTCCTGCTCATCATCCCAATTTCCCCTAAAACACTGCTTTATAGGCATTCATTAATATTGCCTGCCTCCCCGCAACCCTCTCTTTCTTCCCTGCTCTACTCTGTGTCCATAATCTATGAAATCTGATGTCAAACATCTTGTAAACTAGCTAAGACACTATCTTGGATCCCTGCAAAATTTTGAGAAATTATGGAATCCCAGGAGCATGTCAGTGCTGTCACAGAGCCAAGTTCTAAAGTAACATTCCAGAGCAAAGAGTAGTTCCTGACTGCTTTCAAATGTCTGACAGACAAGTGTGATATGCTGACATAATGCAGGGAATCCTTAATATATGGAATCCCCAAGTTTCCACACAGCCCTAGTATCAGCACTACATCACAGGCAGAAAATCCTATCACTTCTAGAAAACAGCAGAGGTTTAACAGAAGGCAGTGAGGTAACTGTTCAGGTGCTTATAAAACCCTGGCACAAAAAACCTGTGAATTATTAAACAGCAAAAAGTTCTTTAAAAAAAGAATAAAGATATAGTGGTCCCTCTGGCGAGACAGGATATACAGTGTGTCCCAAAAACATGTACACACACTGTAACAGCTGATGGCGCAACTGATACTTCTTTCTTTTCAGCCAGACTAAGCTTTGAACAAAGTAAATTCATCCTAAATGCTTCTGGAAGTTTAAAAATTCAGCTGAAGTACAACACTGCCTTTATAATTATTCAAAGTATGTATTTTTAAAAATGTATTTTTAACAGCTGATAACTCAATTTCTTTTCCTTTTCAGGTTTAATTAATTTGAAATAATATGTGAAGCCAACTAAGCTTTAGGACAAAGAAATTTATCCACTAGACGTTTGTGGGGATACAGAAGAGATAAAGCTCACGGTACAAATCCGGCAACAGGTGAGGAATTGAGGGCGCACAAGTATGGAACGCAAGGATTCCTGATGTTTGCGACCCCATTGCTTCACGTTATCAGCAGTGACTGGACCAGAATGGTCATCAGTTTGGAAACAGATATTGACAAAAAAAAAAAAAAAAAAGATTCATTTCTATAGATTATTTTAAATTTTGAAAATGAACTCTATGTTAATAAACACTGACTTTATAATCATTCAAAGAGTGTATATATTTTTTGGGACATCCTATATATGAAATACTAAAAGGATATGGTGTTAGGGAGACTCTACATTCTGTATCACTTTAGAGCCAGAGTTGGGGAGGCTTGGGGAAGAGAAGGGAAATCATTCAGTGTGGCCCTACCAAGGTATTAGGAGTGAGTTAAATGTTTGACCCAATATAGCCAGCTAATTTTTAAGTTGATAATTTTGTATGGCCCACAAATGATGTTATAATCCAAAAGGCTCTTGACAAAAAGGTTTCCCACCCCTGTTTTAGAGAAAGAAAAGTATTCTGGTGGTCAGAGCAATGATGGGATGGGGCTGAGTGTGTTCAAAATCAGAGCCAGTCACAAGGAACCAAATATCCTCACAAACTTGAGAACTTCCAGTGTACTGAAGAGCCCGCACTATTCTTAGTTGGGCTGTAAGAATGTGACAAACAGCCCTAACCAGTTTGGCTCAGTGGACGGAGGTCAGAAGGGCTAAGGCCTAAGAAGATGACCCTACAGTGGTCAGGTTCCCTGGAGGTTATTTTTAGTGCTCTTAGCACCGGGCTCCTGACTCCTTCAGTCCCGGGCCGGTGAGCACAGTGCCACACGGACGGGCACTGTGGAGCCCTGGTATCAGTCCTAGACCCCGGCCATGAAAGTCAAGTTCCCATTAGTGTTCTACTTGCCTGATTTCCTCTTGTATCTTGTGATGATGAAGTAGGATACGATGTAGAGAATGGCAAAAAGAAGGAAACATATCTGAAACAGAACAAATTTAACACATCATTTACACTTTTTGCACATCTTTTTTTAAATAATAGAAAATACATCCATGGTATTTATAGAAAAAAGTAATTTATTACAAAGTGAACATTTTAAATATTTTGCTAATATTAAGTTTGGATAAAATATTAATTTATATGAACTAGTTTTAATACCATTTTCAGTAGAGATTTTTCTTTTTATAACTTGACCAAATTGTTTTCAAAATCATGTGGATATATAAAAACCAGGACACCACTGACAACTCTGAAAAATAAAGTCAGGGAGACGCTACCAGCCCCACCACATGTTAAAACATACAGGAAGCTCTGGTCACATGGAAAAAGTGTATCAGAGATCAATACAACAGTCTATTGTATGAAAATCAAGTAACATGTTATACACACAGAGGCATCACTAATTAATGTGACAATAATTAGATAAACATACCACATATCAAAATAAGCTGCAGTTGAACAGACGTTAACATTGAATCCCATATCATTCCTATCAGATCTGGGGCATGAAAGGCCACAAGGATGGGTCCAGAGACAGATCGTGTTACAGTTAAAGACAGGTGTGCTGGGAAGAAAGACTCGTCAGTGCAGGGACCACAGTGAAAGACCTGGAACTCTCTCAAATCAAAGCCTTCAGGTGATGATGAAGTCTAGGGAGCACCCCATACGTGCATTTCTGAGTGACGGTTGGTAGTGTGTGACTGAGAACGACCTTGGACCTGCGTGATGGACATACACTGTACAGCAAGCATATTTGACTTGCGGCGGCAGGCCTCATCCTCATTTAATAATAGCCTACTGAATGACAAACTGAGGTGGAGAGGACCACTTTGAGCCTATGTTAAAGTCCTCCCGCCACATGCGGACAGTGACAGGAAACAATACTGTCATGACTCAAAGGACCAGTCAGGAGCATCCAGGACAGCCTGCTGCTGGGAGCCCCAGGAGCCCTGGCAGATCAGAGAAGGCACCTCCATCACCACCCTCCCTTAGCCTCGCAGCGTGGGAAGTGGGTCGGAAAGGAGCAGCAATTATTGGTGCAGAAATGTAAACAGGGCATTGTTTACAATGAAAGGGAAGTCCCAGAGGCTGGGAGCAATAGTTGGGAGGCAACAGAGTTGAGACGTGCAACTCCGTCTTAAGGAAATAGAATTAAGTTCCTTCTAGCAGAAGTTATGCCATGCCCTGAGGGTTTGGCCAGAAGATAAGATTAACCTGCCGCTTAGCATCTCTGCAACTTCCCCTTCCTGATCCTCCCCCATAGATAGCCCAGCCTTGGGATGTTACGCTGCCCTGGCAGTTAGCCAATCCTCTGTTGCCAGATACCTTACCACCTTGCCACTCAGTGCCTAAACCAATTGTACACTGCCAACGACCCCTCTGCATAGGCAACCCTGCCCCCCTTTGTTTCTGCTGTATATATACAGCCATTTCAAAGAATAAAGTCGAGGCTTGATCAGAGAACTTTGTCTTGCCTCCGTTCTTCGCGTTCCTTGTTTGTTTCATTCTCTTAGGTGGTTCCTGCGTACCCCCATTGTTGCCCTGCGGGCCAGGACAGGCAATGGGAGAAGTCACTGGCCAGAAACACTGTGAAATAAGAAGTCCAAGCCAGAGAGATCAGATGACCAGAGAATCTGTGATGGGGCTGACCAGAACTCATTCCTTCAGCAAGTACACACTGTGGCCACCAGACACCAGGCACTCGCTCTCCCAAGAACTGAGCACAGCAGCACCACAACCGAGTCCCGCCTCACCGAGCTCCCACTGCAGTAAGAAAACAGATAACAAGTACGGGAGTCCACAGGGTGTCAGATGACAACCAGTGAGTGCCAGGAGGGTGAGGGCCACCTCACTAACAAGGTGACATCTGGGGAAAGTCGTGAAAGAGGAGAGAAAAAGACATGCAGAGATCTGGAGAGGTGGAGGCAAAACCCTGACCAAAATCGATTGAGAGAATTGGAAACAAATACAAACAGACAGTTCTTGCCAGTTTTATGATAACGAGAAGCAAAGGAGGTATGGAGGAAGGGGGAAGTCATGAGGGGTTTTTAAGTTGGGAAGAGTTACTTACAACGGTTCTAGCAATATCCAGTAAAGAGAAATCACTGATGCGAGAAAGAAAACAGACTTGCTGAAGAAATGAGCCAAGTTGAGGGGCTAAGTATAAACACCCACCTGTAGGAAGAGGAGGTAGAGGAGAAGCAGGAAGGGGGGAAGAGCAGGAGACAAAAACATACGAGTGCCACTGCAGGTGGGTAAGCACATGAGTAGTGGAAAAATATTCTCTTTTGGTGGCTTCTGAGTTGTCAGCGAAATGGAAGCAAATTCAGGGAGAGTGGGAGATGAAATGGACGGACGAGAGACGGATGGTGAGATGAAACAGCCTTTAAAGTTCCAGGCCAACCAGGCCAGAGCTCCAGGCAGCCTGGAGGCCTGAGGGCGCTGTCTGGTTCCCCGAGGCTGAGGCGATGCAGTAGACATCCCATGTCTGTTTCTAACAGGTTCCCTGCTCTCTCCTGCCCTGTACGGCCTACATCTTCGACTTCACTCTCCACCTCCCTCACTCTACCAACACCAGTGTCACCTCCCTCCTACTGCCCAACTCGGCATGCCTGGCAGTGGCCAGCAGTGACCCAACAGCCCAGCTCCCGAATTTACTCAACCTCCACACTGCAACTTGCAAGCCACAAGCTTCCTCCTCCTCTGCTGCGCTCCCAGGCAGCATGGCTGGCTCCCCGCCCACCAGCCTTTAAATACCATCCTTCTCTGTGATTCCTGAGAACAGATATCAATTCTCATTCCACAAGCTCTTCACAGGTTAAATCCCTGGGGCAGGGATTTAACATAAATCCCTGGACACTGTTTGAGCCACACTGGTTTAGGGCATTAGCAAGAGTGAGTGAAATGACTGGCCATGAACCCCAAGTCCAGGAGAAACCAGGATGGGTGATGGATGGGAACGGAGGTTGCTGTGGAAAAGCAGCTGCAATAAAGGAACTTGACCAACAGAGCTGGAGGAGCAGCTGGTTGTGCTTAAGGAATGTTTGGGGATTGTTTTTTTTCATTAGTTTCAGGAATTCTGGGGAGTTAGTGCAGAAGTGGTAGATGAGAAGGCATGAAAGTTGACCACCAAAAGGAAATCAAGGCACTAAATTACCTGCCATTTAGACAAATGGAAAGCAAATCAGATGAGTGCCACTGCAGGTGGGTAAGCAAATGGAAAAGCAAGTCATTCAAGAGCAGAAGCAAGATTAGCAATTACAAAGTGAACAGATTCCTCACTCGGAAATAACAAAACAATTGGAACAGAGGTCACAGACATGGCTGGACTGTTTCCCCAGTTCCCCTAAAATGAGTGTCTTCAGCAGAGAGACAGACCCAAAAGATGCGTGAAATGCTAGCAACCCCAAAGACACCTCCTGTTCTCCTACAGCGGGTGGGACAAAAGGAAAGAATTGTAACAAGGAGAAGAGGGCCCTCGGGGTTCTGGAGGAGAATCGGGGAAGGAAGAGCGAGGCGATGGGAGCTCGCCAGCAGAAACCATCCCGGGAGCATGGCCTCTGCCCGCTGACCCAGCTCTTTAGCCTCTCTGGACCCTCTTAGTCCTGATGCAGATCATAAACAGCTAGGCATTTCACAAGTAACCTGATAATACACTGAAAATGCGCGGTCGCCCCGCCGGGTGGCTCAGTTAGCTGAAGCATCGTCCTGCACACCAAAAGGTTGCAGAGTTGATTCCCAGTCAGGGCACATACAGGACGCAACCATCTACTTACTTCTCTCTCCCTTCCTCTCTCTGAAATTAATAAACATATAAACATATCCTAGGTGAGAATTAAAAAAATCATTAAAAACTAATATCCTAAATTCCAGGTGTAAGATCTGAACCTAAATTCAAACTAGAGCATTATAATCAGGCTGTACTTTCTGGCTTTTCATTTAAGACCTATGGGCTTCAAGGACTTCAGTGAACTGAAACAAAGAGTGGTGGTTGCCAACGGGCTCAAGGACTGCAACCACCAACACATTTCTTACAAAATCATGGAAGAGATGACAAGTGAAAGCCCATGCATACAGCTTTTATTTTAAAGTTGCTAAATCAGCCGAAACCGGTTTGGCTCAATGGATAGAGCGTTGGCCTGCGGACTGAAAGGTCCCAGTTCGATCCTGGTCAAGGGCACGTACCTAGGTTGCGGGCACATCCCAGTGGGGGGTGTGCAAGAGAATGCTGGTCGATGTTTTCTCTCATCGACGTTTCTAACTATCCCTCCTAATTCCTCTCTGTGTAAAATCAATAAAAATATTTTTTTTTAAATATATTTTATTGATTTTTATACAGAGAGGAAGGGAGAGAGATAAAGAGTTAGAAACATCAATGAGAGAGAGTCATCGACCAGCTGCCTCTTGCACACCCCCTACTGGGGATATGCCCGCAACCAAGGCACATGCCCTTGACCGGAATCGAACCTGGGGCCCTTCAGTCCCCAAGCCGACGCTCTATCCATTGAGCCAAACCGGTCCTGGCAATAATAATAAAAATATTTTTAAAAATAATAATAAAAATAATAATAAAGTTGCTAAATCAAAACAATTTGAGATATTGAGTATCCTTTTCTAAAACATCTTTCTTGTTGAGAATATTACAGATGTCCCCCTTATCTCTCCCAATGCCCCCCTCCACCTGGTTCCTGCCCCACTCCAGGCCTTACCACCCTATTGTCTGTGTCCATAGGAATGCATATTATATGCATATAAATTCTTTGGTTAATCTCTTCCCGCCCCCTCTCCCACCTTCCTTCTGAGATACATCAGTCTGCTCCATGGTTCCATGCCTCTGGTTCTATTTTATTTATCAGTCTATTTTGTTCATTAGATTCCTTGTTCCTTTATTTTGTCTTTTAGATTCAATTTTCAATAGATATATACTCACTGCCATTTTATTGTTCATATATATATATTTTTTACCCTTTTCTCCTTCTT